AAGTCGGCCGCTCAACCGACTGAGCCACCCAGGCGCCCCTCATAATGTTGGCTTTGATGGTATTTTCTGTTCTGTTTCGCTTCGTTTGGGGATCCTAATAGTATCCTTTCAAGGAATATCTCCGTCTCTACCTTTCTTGGGGATTGAGTAGGCAATGCCCCTGACCTGGTCAGCCCCACAGGTCACCCAGCCCTGGAGGACAAGTAGCCCCCTCTACTCCAACTCTTGCTTCGCTGAGCCCCCTTCTCCCGGTGTAACTCAGCCTGCCATCTAGACAGTGCCCAAGAGTGTGGCGTGGGAAGATTCTGGAAAGTCACTGAGCATGGAGGACGCGGCCCGGCACATCCTTCCCAGGCAAGGGCAAACCTTCACCTCTACGAGGCCAAGGGCAGAGCTAAGAATGAATGAACCCAATGCATGAACCAGCAAAGCCACAAAGGCACCACTAAGTAAACACGTGGATAAGGTGACTGAGGGGCAAAGTGGCCACACGGGCACACAAGCCCATTATTAATAAACAAATGACGCAGGAGGACCCACTCAGCGAACGGGGAAGGGTGACATTCAAACAGACCCTGGCCTCCCAGCGACCACAGCCTCTGGGCACCCCGGGCGCTGCCAACACCCACGAGGCCGGAAACCCCTTGGCCTGCCTTCCAGCTTCCTCCTCCGTCTGCTCCCAGGTCAGAGGTCCCCCTGCGCCAGTACCAAGCTCTCAGGACAGGCCCCTCATGAAGCCTCGGGCCATGACAGAAATTCCAAGTTGCCCTGGAGCACAGGCCAGGAGAGGCGGAGCCACTCATGAAGGACAATGAAGGACAAAACAGCCAGAACAGGCCTCAAAACAGGCTGCCCACCCTAGAGAGAGACATGCACACCTCAGCCCCAAAGCCTCTAGAACCTGGGACTGAACCAAAGGGCGTTCTGTCTTCTGTGTGAAAAGAAACATTCATCAAGCACCCGGGCCTGGAAGGACCCGCCCGTTGAGAGTCTGTGATGGCGCTGAGGGTGGGGTTGCGGGGGGGATGGAAGCAGAGCTGGTCTGGGGAGCCACCAGAGTGCTGCTCTGGGCCTGCTCAGCCACTTACAGAGCAGCACCTGCCCCACTGCCCCTCCTCCCCGGTCCCCATCTCAACCCTCAACACCCAGCCACAACTTGCCCATCATTGACCCTTCTCCCCTCTCGTCCATGACTCCGATATGTCCGTTGACCCCACTGATCCCACTGCCCTCCAGGCTGGGGCACTCTAGCCCCAGCCAGCTTCCCATGCCTCACCTCCTGCCATGCTCTGATCCCCAGGCCTCCTCCCCTGCCCTGGGCTCACCCATCCCAGCGCTCACTGACAGGCGACGAACTCCCCTGCGTCCATGTCACCTGCCACCCTTCCTGCCCCACCCTATCACTCGCACCAAACACCTTGCTCCAGACCCTTTTACCATGGGTCTGCACATGTCTGAAATACTCTCCACGCCTCTGACACCTCTAGGCAAACTCCTACCCATCCCTCAAGACCCAGTGGGAGTCTAACTCCTCTAACTTCACCCAGGGCACTCTCTTTTGTGCCCTTAGTGTCCACCCTGTTATGCGGATTTGGTCATCTGTCCCTATAGCATAATCGTTCCTCCAGGCTAAGGGCCATTTTTTCCCTCCCTCTCTGTACCTTCCACGAGTGGCTCTCATTTCATCACGAGCAAAAAGCAGGGGCTAAAGGTACATCCCTAAGGGGCCCTCCAGCTCAGCTGCCTGTGCTCCTGGGACTCCGATCCCCTCCCTCCTGGTTTCAAACTGAAGGCAGGAAATTGCCCAAGTGGCCACCGTGGAGATTCTGCCGGTGGACAGCCGGCAGGCGGCCGGCGGATCCCTCTGCTTCTGAGGCCGCAGATTCACCAGCCGCCCAGATGCTGTGCTTCGGAAATATTTTTACGGCATCTTTTACACTGGGAAATCAAGCAGTGTTCACAGGCATTGGCGGGAGGTGGTTTGGCCAGACCAGGGGCGGGGTAGGGCTTTCTCAGGTTCTCAGAAACCCCAGGGATGGGATCTCTTCAAGACAGGTCAGTCTCCCCGGGTGGGGCCTGCCCGTCCGTAGGGTGTACAGCTGGGTGGGAGGTGTGTGTAGAGAGGAGCACCAGGGATTACTAGGAGTCCTGAAGCCCTGACCCCCCCCTTCCCTGAATTCC